CGACCTGCTTCGGATTAACTGTGAGTGAACCAAATCCTCGTCAGAATCAGCAGCTACAACACAAGGCCAGCTGGTTTTCCAAGCAACAGGAGTCGTAGCAGAGTTAGCATGGAACAGCTAACTCTGTGAGGAGAACAAAGGAGATAACCGCAAAGCAACACAGCCAGACAGGACTTAACTCCACTAGGAAATCTCCCAACTCACTGGACTTTACACCAACACTGGAAAGGACCTCTTTGCTTGTTTCCAGGACTGGGTAACGTTAACTGACTGGGCCTAACCTTCCACAGCATAGCACAGCACAGCATAACTAAGCAGCAGAAGTCTTAACTTTGTTAATGTACTTGTTGATTGATGTCTTGTTGTTGTAATGTTTGCTTAGGTTGTGGTCAGTCATACAGTTAATCAGGTACTTGTATGTTAACACACATGGTAGTACGTCTCAGTTCTAGAACCTGTTAGAACCTAACTACCCCCCTCTAACCTGGTACCTTTAGATTACATGAGCTAGGCTAACAAAGAAACTCACACCTTCCCTCTCACACACCCCAGGTGGTCCAGCGGCCATTTTGAGTAGTTTCTTTGTTTACCGCCATCTTGTGTAGTCTTCTTTGTTCAGGTCATGTGGTCACAGTGACCACTTTGAATCGGCCATCTTGCCTTTGTTTGTGTCCCCACAAACACACACACAAACACACACACACATACACACACCTGTATATACTAGATCAGACATTGTGTTTTGCTCTGCTTCATTGTAAATAAATGCCTTTAAGTATAACTACTGGTGTGTTTAATGTTGCACAAGCGTGAATATTGCCAACCCCTACTTGGTAGAATTCCAATCCTTCAACTTTAACTTACTGTTGATTTGGTAATTTGGTTATACTTAGTAAGCTAATGGTTATTCAGAGTTCCAGATTAATGGTAATAAATTGAGACTAAAACCATATTGGCTATTTTGCCTATTAGTTTAGGCTGGTGCCCCGTGAACTTTAATTAATTTTAAAGTTATTATTTAATATTAATATTTTTAATATTAATATTTTCCTAATTTATGATAGCCAATAAATTGATAAACAACCAAAATTCAACATAGTTGGTGTCCAGCTCATGAGGTAGAGCTCAGACCCAACACCTTTGATGCATAAAGAGACACTCTCATGCTTCGCTGCTGCTTTGTGTGATCAAGAGATTCGGTATCTTGCCTGTTTTTCACTTATGATAAGCGGCTCCCAGCAAAAATACACAGGGAAACATTAGTTGATATACATACTGATATGATACCAGCTGCGTTATATATAACTGACACCTTTCACTAGCCTATAGTTTCAGTATATGAACTTTATATGAATATGACACAGACATGACATTTTCCCGGATCTCTCTCTCTCTCTCTCTCTCTCTCTCCTCTCTCTCTCTCTCTCTCTGTGTTTGTGTCTTGCTCTAAACAATTGTAAACAAAAATAGGCAAACTGTATGTAGAAAGACAGAGCTGCAGTAGCAGTGGTGCAGCTGCCCAGCAAACGTGAAGCAGACTGTGTGTCCAATGCTGTCTCTTATGAACCAGTTTGTCGGCTATGTCTTCAGTTACTGTTTCTATACATGGAGCCATATAGCCATCGTTGCAGGGAGTGCAGACAATAAGCCCAAGGGAACAACCATTGAGGCCGCTGTCACTTTGTCCAAGAGGCACAGGAACTGGACATACGGCAATGCCCTGCCCTATTGAAAGTGGGCAAGGAGCCGCAGAATGTTATCCACACACTGAGAGGATGGACAAGCCCTCACAGTGATAGTGTTCAGAGCCACACCAATGAAAATTGTGCTCTGAGAAGGAGTCAGTGAGCTCTTCTCAAAATTGACTGTGAGACCCAGCTGGGCCACGTGAGAGAAGGAGCTGTGACTCGGGTCGCCTGTGCCCTGGATGGTACACAGATCAGCCAGTTGTCCAGTATTTTCATGCCCCATGAGTGCAGGGGCGGAGAGACTGAATGGAAGCACCCGGAATTGGAAACAGTGGCCATAGAAGGCAAAACGTAAAAACAGGCTGTGTTGAGGTGCAATGTCACATGAAAGAGAGTGTCCTTCAAGTCGATGGATGTGAATCATTCCCCTGGGTCAACAGGTCGATCAGCTGTTGTGCCCACCATGTGGAATGTCAGTACCTTGAGAAACTTGTTGAGCTCCCTTACATTAAGGACTGGATGAAACCCCTCTGTCTTCTTCTTCACCAGAAAACAAGACAAATTGGACGCCCTGGGATGTGACAGGGGATCTCCCAGTTCTATTGCACCCTCGGCCAGATTGGTGAAAAGCCCTGGTTCGGGGATAAAGCCTTTGCCAGGTCCTGGAATGATGGTCAATCCAACCCAGTTGGAAGCTGGGGGCTTGCATTGGAATTGGATCTTGTACCAAGGATGAAACCACCCAGGGATCTGAAATGTTAGCAGCCTAGCATCTGATCTACTGCTGGGAAAAATAACAGACAACTGGCCCTGAGGCCTCAATCCCTAGTCTCATGACCTTTGGAGATCTTGGGAGCGGGACAATGAGGAGCCCAGGCTCGGTGGTTTGCAGGACAAGCGAGCTGGGCCATGAAAGTCATCGACTGGCCTCCAAGCAATGGGGCATTGAGGCCCCTGGTAACCTCTGGAGTGAGATGATGGCAATGGTAGGGAGAGGGAGAAGGCGGCAGTCACAGCAACCCTGTGCCTGCCAGGAAGGAGTCAAGCTGAGTTTGCACCAAGGTTGACATTAGGCATCCAAGCTCCCTGGACATAAAGGCGAAAGCCTGCAATGAAGCATCACTGAGGCTGGTAATGGAAGCATCTACCCCCGCTTACCGCAGGGAAGCTGAGAAAGGTGAGCATGAAGTGACAGAAGTAGTTGCCGATCCGCCCCATGTGTGATGTTACATCATAACCCCTGCATTAATGGATCATCAGTGACTAAACACTGGAGTTGAGGACACCTGGAATCTGGTCTCAGGGCTTCATAAGGGAGCATTATGGCTCAATAGCTGGCATGTGATGCAGGCCGAACTGTATCCTGCATAGCAGCCAAGGATAGGCCATCTGAAGTATGATGGGAGCATCTTCTAGTGTCCTCCCAGCATGCATGCAGCTCCCTCAAATACTCCTCTGAGAGGGGAACAGTAAAGGCAGAAGCGGGTGGCCTGCATCGTAAAAAGGCACTAACGGGCACCGTGTCAGATGGCATGTCAAGTGGCAGACGAGCTAGGGCCATGCGGACGACAGTCCTCACAGAGCTGGCCCCTGTGTCATCCATGGAGCTCTGGTCTGAGGAGCAAGAGCCCGGCTCCGAGACATGGGACACACCCTCCTCCTCCTTCTAAGAGGGTGTCCAAGGCTGTCCAACCCCCAATGAGGACATTTTATGTATATTGGGAACACTGCTGTCACCAAACCAGGGTTGTAACATCTAACAGATCAGCTCCAGCGAGAGCACTGTTACCTACAGTTGGAACAAACCAAAAAGCATGTTGGGAAAAGACACAGCCATCACCAACGGATATTAACAACTAAGCTAGTAAACCTGTCAGCTCAAACACCACTGCTGGCTACTAACAACCAAAATACATGGACCGATGTTGCTTTCTTTTTCTTTTTTTTTTTTCTTTTTTTTTTTTTTTAGGCAAGCACCTTCTTGCCATAAACTGTAAAAAAAACACAAACTACCACAGCTATCACATGCTGGGAACAACAGCGAGAGCACAAAGTAAGCTTAATAAGCTGATACCAACAGCAGGATGACCAACGTCTATACCCCACTGAGCACAAAGGGCGGACACTCCGCGTTCCCTCAGGAGACAGCTTGTCGCAGCCTCTTGGAGGGCAAATATTCTGCAGCTCTGACCGATGTGGTAACAAGGCTACCAGTGATGAGTTTATTTTAAGATTGATAGAGTTAGCTTTAGCTAACACTACCACAGAAGTAACCCTGCGAAGCAAGAAGATGAAATGGAACTGATTCTCTGATGACATCGGAAGATATACCCTCTCTAGGGTCATGTGGGATCACAGGTGACATTGTTGATATTAAATACTCCACTATACGCAAGACGGAAGATCCAATGCTTAAGACACTGCCTCTGGCAATCAGGAAGGATGAAATAGAACTCATTTGTTCGGTCTGTGAAGTGTAAAAATGATATATGGTGGATTTTATGGGGTTTTATGTGTGGGAATATCAGTGTTGTGCATGAACGCGTTCAATGAACAGCGTTCTTTGAACACGTTCATATTTTTTGTGAACACTGAACTGAACAAATCAGTTTACAAATGATGAACGTGAGCGGGGTTCATCCTAGGCAGAGGGAATGCCGCTCCACTTTACGACAGTTTTATGGCATGCCACATGACATCTCCATAGACACGGCCCACCAAGGCCAATGCTAGCGGTACAGACGGTAATACAACCATGGTACAGACGCATCTACTACTGCTGAAGCCAGTTTGTTTGAGCATTTGAAGCAATTCTATAAACAAATGAGTTAAAACTCAGACGGAGTAATTTTATATACGGATTTTAAATGTTACTCATGTCTGTGATTCTTCAGTGGTATACAATAATTCATTTATTTTGGGAATGGCAATGATTTGGGCTGGTGATTGATGGGTAGAAGGAGGTTCTTATTCTTTTTATAGAAAAAAAAACGGTACAAATGAACGTGAATTAGTTCATTTTTATGTACATGAACTGAAATTTGAACTAGTTCTTTTTAAGTGAGAACTGGCACAACACTGGGGACTATCATCCTGCCCTGTCATCAGCATGAAGTTGCCAGGCAGTGAAGACTCCAGAAAAGTCTGGCACGTGACTCCCTGTAAAACCACAACATGTCATGGACAATAGATTTATTTTGAAGGCGAGAAATGTATCACATTGGAATGATTTGTAAGATGATGATGATTCCATGCCACTTCTACACACCCTGGCTTCAACACCAATGTTATTTTTCTTCTTCTGTTGATCAGGTGATCATGAAAGAAGTGAAAGGCACCAAAGAAGAAGACAAGACTCCTCCTGCCTGGTTCACCTCTTACATGGAGAAAGTAAGAACAACCAGATGGAGGTGACACTGTCTTTCAGTACAAGTTAGGTTTTCTGGTGAAGGAAATGTCTTATTACTAAAACATGGACTTTCTTACTCTCCCAACTTCACCCCACAGTTTAAGGACCAGGTGGTTCGCGAAGCGGTGGAGAAAATCTGCAGGGAGTTTTCTGGACAGTGCTGCATCCACAAGCCACTGGGAGGAGGGGGAGGATCAGGGGGAGCTGGAGGAGGTAGAGGGGAAGCAGTAGGTGGAGCAGAGGCCCAGCAGGTTCCTGAGGTGTCCTCCACCCTGCCTGGAGCCCCATCTTCCTCCACCCCTCCCTGCTCCTCCTGCAGGGGACAGACCACTGGAGGAGGCTACCAATGCAGGTATGTATTGTTGGCAGCTAACTGGCTAATTGCAAGTTACTTTGAATTAGGAAATCACCTACTTGAGTGCAGAGTCACATAAAGGTTCCAGCAATAGCAGCTTTTTGACTAATTATTTCCTCTTTGCTGTTCAATCATTGCTAAGCTACCATCAATGAAGCCAAACACAACCTGCAAAATTATCTCTTCTTAAATACTAGTATTCTGCCCTTCAGGCATATAGTATGAGTGTTGGGAACCCCCTACAGCATTTCTGTTTAATGGTACAGTCCTATGACGCAACTCCCTGTCTGGACAGGAAGTAGGAGAAAAAACAGCACGTGGGCCACAGGAGGTTAGATTTCAGTCCCACCAGAGCACAAGGCGTTCATCTGTTGCCATCCTGTTGTTGTGCCATAGAAAGCATTGCCTGTAAGTTTAAAAACCTTTGGGGGGTGCGCTCTCCAGTGCTGAACATTTCTGAGTGGTTGAGTACTTGCATTTTATTTCACCCACTATGTTTAAAAGTCCCCAGGGAGCGAGCACCGAGCGAGCAAACAGATTTTCCACACTGCAAAACAGGTCTGGGAGAAGGTAAAAAAACTTAAAAAGGACTCTTTAAAATTAAAAAATGGAGTGGCTATGGTTGCCACCTGTCACGTATAATACAGGATCATTTCGTATTTGAAAATAAAATGCTGTGTCCTGTATTGAATGAATACAACAATGGGCCACAGGAACCTTTTAGTTCCTGAAGAATTCCAGGTACTTTTTGGTCGAAACGCGGTTCAAGAAATGTTGATTTCTTTTGTGATTTGCTAGTGATATTTAGCATATTTAGCATTTAGCTTTCACCTTCATTAAAGCTATATACATATATGTACAGTGGATATAAAAAGTCTACACACCCCTGTTCAAATGCCAGGTTTTCGTGATGTAAAAAAATGACAGCAAGACAAATAATTTCACAACTTTTTCCACCTTTAATGTGACCTATAACCTGTATAATGCAACTGAAAAACAAACTGAAACCTTTAAAGGGGAAAAATATAAAATAAAAAACTTAAAAGAACGTGGTTGCATAAATATGCACACCCTTAAACTAATACTTTGTTGCAGCACCTTTGGCTTTTATTACAGCACTCAGTCTTTTTGGGTAGGAGCCTATCAGCGTGGCACATCTTGATGTGGCAATATTTGCCCACTCTTCTTTGCAAAACTGCTCCAAATCTGACAGATTGCGAGGGCATCTCCTGTGCACAGCCCTCTTCAGATCACCCCACAGATGTTCGATGGGATTCAGGTCTGGACTCTTCCAAAGCCTCAATCTTATTCCAGTAAAGCCATTCTTTGGTGGTTTAGATGTGTGCTTTGGGTCATTGTCGTGCTGAAAGATGAAGTTCCTCTTCATCTTCAGCTTTCTAACAGAAGGCCGAAGGTTTTGTGCCAACACTGACTGGTATTTGGAACTGTTCATAATTCCCTCCACCCTGACTAAAGCCCCAGTTCCAGCTGAAGAAAAACAGCCCCAAAGCATGATGCTGCCACCACCATACTTCACTGTAGGTATGGTGTTCTTTTGGTAATGAGCAGTGTTGTTTTTGCACCAAATATACCTTTTGGAATTACGTCCAAAAAGTTCAACCTTGGTTTCATCAGACCATAACACATTTTCCCACATGCGTTTGGGAGATTTCAGATGTCTTTTTGCAAAATTAAGCCGGGCTTTGATGTTTTTCTTTGTAAGATAAGGCTTCCGTCTTGCCACCCTACCCCATAGCCCAGACATATGAAGAAGACGGGAGATTGTTGTCACATGTACTACACAGCCAGTACTTGCCAGAAATTCCTGCAGCTCCTTCAGTGTTGCTGTCGGCCTCTTGGCAGCCTCCCTGACCAGTTTTCTTCTCGTCTTATCATCAATTTTGGGAGGACGTCCTGTTCTTGGTAATGTCACTGTTGTGCCATATTTTCTCCACTTGATGATGACGGTCTTCACTGTGTTCCATGGTATATTTAATTCCTTGGAAATTCTTTTGTAGCCTTCACCTGACTGATATCTTTGAATAATGAGATCCCTCTGATGCTTTGGAAGCTCTCTGCGGACCATGGCTTGTGCTGGAAGATGTGGCTACAAAAATGTCAGGAAAAGCCTACTAGAACAGTTGAACTTTATTTGGGGTTGATCAGAGGCACTTTATTTGGTGACAGGTGTGTGCTGACTCCAATTTAACATGAGTTTGAATGTAATTGGTTAAATCTGAACACAGCCACATCCCCAGTTATAAAAGGGTGTGCACACTTATGCAACGACATTATCTCAGTTGTTTATTTTTACTTTACCTCCCTGAAAGATTTCTGTTTGTTTTTCAATTGCGTTGTACAGGTTATAAGTCACACTAAAGGTGGAAAATGTTGTGAAATTATTTATCTTGATGTAATTTTTTTTACATGAAAAAAACCTGGCATTTGAACAGGGGTGTGTAGACTTTTTATATCCACTGTAGCTGTTAGAATGAATGCGCACTCAATAGGAAACTTTCCCCAAAATCTCCAACAAAGACAACGTCAAGCTGGAGCTTTGTTCTGCTAATGAAGATGGATACCTACCGGGTTTAACCTGGATACTGCCCAATAGAGGAGAAATTACCCAAAGTCATCAAGATGTGTGCCATAAATGATGATCAGAGCAACCGCTCATTACTTCGGTCAGCCTTCTTTGATGCTTTTAACATCCAAAGCTCAACCTCTTACTCACTCAGAACCTGTGCTGGACAAGTTGACATGTCTGGAAGAAAAGCAGAGGGCTTCAAAATCGAGTCAGTGAACGGGAAAGTCTGTCTTGATTTACCAACACCTAGAATGTACCCACATTCTTGTAAATACCGATGTCAGATGAAGCTCTTCATCTCCCCCACCTGAAGTCCGTGGCAGACTACATTCCGATGCTTGATCCAAATGCCCATATTCTTCTCTTACTAGGAAGGGACATTGTTAGGGTACAGAAGGTTCGACAGCAGGGCAGTGGACCACACAACACCCCTTTCGCATAGAGGTTGGACCTAGGCTGGGTTCTGGTGGGTGATATATGCACACAAGCCAGTTGTGAGCACTCTCAGGACAAATGTGCTGGAGAATGGTAGACCCTCCTTCCTCACTCCCTGTGAGAGCTTTATGCAGCTGAAATAGAAAGTGAGTTATGGCAGGGAGCAACCAGGCAACCTGTCCGACTCTGTCAAGGGCAGCAAAGTAAGAGTCACAGAGCGCACGATTGAATGCACTTTGTTCAGCGAAACTAAACAGGACAACAAGCTGGCTCCATCAATTGAGGACATGGTATTTTTAAAAACCATGGATGAGGAAGTTTATAGAGATGAAACTAAGAGCCTTCAAGGTACTCAGGCAGTGTCTCCCCAACAACCAGGAACAAGCGCTCATTCATCCCTTGTCTTTGCATTGCAGCTTAGACAGGAAGCCAGAGATGAAAGAGCAATACGCTGCCTACATGGGGAAGTTGTTGGAAAATGATCATGCTGAACCAGCCCCTGCACTGCAAAAGGATGGGGAGTGTTTGCTGCTTTTGGAAGGAAAAGGTTGCCATCACCACTGATGTACAACACATTTCATTGCTTCGGTGTAAGGGAGGATCACCAAAATGTTCTGCAATACCTATGGTATAGGGACAATCACCTGTCCAAGGACATCATCGACTACAGAATGAAGGTCCATCCTGCTGTTATGGAGGCATTTCTTTCAGAAGATCAAGCAAAGGTTCTGAGGGACCTAGACCTCAGCAAAGAGACTGCTCCTATGCAATGTAGTCTGGGACTACGTTATGAAATAGCAACACACGTTCACCTTTTCAGTGTCCTACAATGACAAACCTTTCACCCAGCGTGGTGTCCTGTCCTCAGTAAATAGTGTCTTTGACCCCCTAGGCCTGGTAGCACCTTTGTCCAAGGGAGAGCTTTACTGCGGAAGCTGACTATGGACACCAGGTTATTTTTTACAGATGCAGATCTGTACAGTGCTCAGTGGAGACAAGTGTAGACCCTTGGCAACAAGTTTTGGACATACTGGAGACAAGAGTACATCCCAACCCTACAGAGCCAGCGAAAGTGGAATGTGGAATGTCCTGAAAGCACCATCAAGTTGCTTGCAACAGCATTGGTCACCTCAGCTCTTCCTAGCGCTGATGGAAAGGTGCGCAAGGTGGAAATCAAGACTAATAGTTATGGTACTCCAAAGACTTTCTTGAGACCTGTCTCATAGATTGTACTCCTGTTGCCGGGAGGAAAGGCCAAAGAGTGAAGGACTGTCTTTCATAAGTAGTGACCCTGAGAAGGGCCAGGCGAGAAGTATTCTGCCCCTCAGGCATTCATGTTCCTTAGTGTGAGTTTCGGGAAACCCCTACAGCAAATCTTGTTTAATGGTACAGTCCTATGATGCAACTTCCTGTCTGGACAGGAAGTAGGAACAAACACATCACATGTGGGCCCTAGAAGGTTAGATTTCAGCTCCACCAGAGCACAAGGCGTTCATCTGTTGCCATCCTGTTGTTGTGCCATAGAAAGCATTGCCTTTAATTAAAAAAAACATAAATAAGCAGTTCAACTTAGTGTATTAAGAAACATTTTGTGACAGGTAGCTGTTAGCTGTTAGCATTTGTTTGGTTGGTCTTTATTGTTTATTATTACTTTGGATTTAGTACAGTGCTAACCATGCTTTACACTTGAATACTTACCTCTGTGTAGGAATATTTTAGTGATTATACTGTATTCAGTTTCACTCCATTTTCACGTCATCATGCACCTTGAGTTGCATTAATTAGTCGGACCGAGAAAGCTACATCCTAACTCTCATATCTTTTGTGAAAAGAGCTTGGCTAGCTGTCTAATTGAGGTTTTCTACACCTTAAGGAGGACAGTATAACTGGATATGAGAAAAATGATTAACTTCTTATGTTTAGAAAACAATCCAAGTTGTTTTGGCAGCGTTGAGATGGCAGCATTTAAACCAGCATGTAAAGAGAGAAAAAGTTCTGTGTGGCAAGTCAGAAGTTTGACAAGTCAAAACTGAATTACAGATATCTGCAATGACGTCACTGAAAACGACATTCGGCTCGTCACGCATCTATAATGAATATGAGAGATCTGTAATTCAGTTTTAACTAGGCAGAATTAAAGTTAATGATATCGCAAACGTCATTTTGACTCGTCAGAATTGTTGTGCATGACGTTGCTCATTCGAGGCTTCCCATTGGATACTGACCCAAATGAACTGGAGGAAGAGAGAAGAGGCTTTCCATTGGATATTCGCCCAGCAAACAAATGATTTGAACAGTCTTAGCAGAAGAAGCAAGTCCATTTTGACTAGGAAGAAGTGAATTGCGGATATCTGCTGTAATGCATATCCAGACTAGCCATTAAACGTCTTGCCATAGGTGGTGTGGTAGTTTTGGACATTGGGCATAGCCAGACTACCTTTTTTCTCCTGCTTCCAGTCTTCATGCTAAGCTAGAGTTATCACATCCTGACTCCAGCTATATGCTCAGAAAACTACTACAGTGCTTTAGCATTGCTTTCCTACGACACTGTTGGACTCATGATGGACAGTTAAATAGGATAAATGTAACGATAACACAACTGTGCAGATAATTATATCTGTAGCATCACTTACATGTGAATGGTGCTTGTGTAGTATTTAACATGTTGAAGCCTTGTCTTGTTAATGATTACGCTGTGAAGGTGAAGTGAAAGGCAAAGTCATAGCTTGACAGGAGAGAGGAGGAGCATGCAGAAACCGTGTTGACAGACATGTAGTCTTTCCCTGATATCTCAGACATTAACCTGAACAGTCTGACTCCAGCCACTTTGCTGTTCTTAACATATGTCCTGTTCTCATAGAAATATGCTGAACTACATGCTAACAAACATTCCTCAGCTTGTGGACATTGTTGCAGGTTCTAAGGTGAATTCTGTCTCTGTAGATAGTGAAACTGAGGTTGCACTTAGTCATGCTGTCAGTTCTTTAGTTGGAATTGCCCTAACTGTTCTCTCTTTTTGTAGCATTCTCTGTCTCTCCTCACTCTCTGTATATCTTTTTTCCCCTGTCTCTCTTCCCTCCGTCTCTGTCTCTCATCAGTGTGTGCACTTCCTGTACTCTGTGCGAGCCCTGCAGTTTCTCTCATGATCCCAGCCACAACCTGGTGAGAGCCAGGACTCCTCTGTCCATTCCAGAACATGGATCACCTGCTCCTGACCACAGCAAGTACGACAACACAATGGTGCTACAATTACATATGTCATGTTTTCTATATTTGTAGACATTTTTATGTCATATTTACTTTTTCTTCTGTTCTTTAACACATTAGCAATATGATTTACAGCCTGGGGTTGATAGTGACAAATTACAAACAGTGGTGGAGGAGGTATTCACATCCCTTACTTAAATAAAGTTAAGTAGGAAGGATTCTATAAATACTCCATTACAAGTAAAATTCCAGCATGTAGAGTGTCATTTGAAAAAATGTAAGGCTTATCATCTGAGTCAGCTCAGACGTCTTACCTTTTACGTTTTATTGCACTTACAGTAAAGCTCAGTGATAGTTTTCGTCAAGTCCAGTAATAGTAGTTTTCTTTGCTTCATCCGGTTCTGTGTCCGGCGCAGCCTCTGTCATGCTGTTTGCTCTGTGTGTGTGTCTGTGTGTGTATGTTCGCGCTATGTACCTGCAGCCCCGCTTCTACTGGAGAGCAGAGAGAGCAGGCCAGAAGAGAGAGAAGCAATGTGACCATAAAAGACAAATAGAGAATAAATATATGGTGATTAATAGTGTCTGTCCGCCACAAATAAATCGATGTACTGTATGTATGAGAAACAATTTGTCGACGCAAAATATTGATGTCGACGGCATTGATTATACCGACTAATAGCGGCAGCCCTACAAAGAACCACACATCAACACACAAACACAAGTTCCCACAAAAACACCGTATTGATTTACCTTAGAGTTGCTCTCATACCTGACTTAAAAGGCAAAGAGCTAATCAGTCAAATTAGCCAAACAGAATTAGCTTTGTCCATTTTTGTCAAGTAATTGTCAGCTGCACCTGCTGAGACACTGGTTGCTGTGGCAACTGTGGCCACCAGGGTGAGGAGGAAAACACGCACAAACAATCCCCTGAAAAAGCTGTTGTCTCCCTAGGCAGACAACAGCTTTTAAGATGAAAGTTGTGTTCGAAAATTGGATCTGAGGGAAAACTACAAGTCCTATTGAAAAGATAACCTCACCATGGCTGTCCCAAGGCTTCAATAGAGTGATTGAAATCTTATATGTGTACCTACAGTTTACAGTTGAGGTTTAATCGCAGTTTTTAAACTCCCCTTAACTCTGTTGAAGGTAAGCTTCAGAGCTGAGTTTAACATGGCCGTCTGTGGTCTCTGCACTTTGGGGGAAACATGTTATAGGGTGATAATAATAATATATGATAAAAAAATAAAATCAAAGAACATCTTTAGGTTACCAGATATATCAGTTCCCAGGTGAGAACATCAACAAAATCAACCAATCAATTGCAGTTAGGCACTTTGGAGCCTGAGCATACTCCTGATAATTACTAATATACACTCAGTTGGCAATTTATTATTAAAATAGTTTTAGACAGTCATTGATTCAGTTAATCACTGAGGAGGATATAACGTATATTACGTCATACAGAGGTGTTTCTGTTATTTAGCCTACCTTCAGTGATAAAAATGGGGGGATGAGGGGTTGGGGTTGGGTGTAGCAAATCCACAGTATACCCACTAGAATAAAGTAGATGCCACCACTGTATACAACTACATGCACATACAAGCACACACACATGCACAGTGCTGATTTGCCTTATACACGCTCTCATACTTGAGAGTAAAAAGGGGTAAGAGTTAATGAGTCGTTTGCTATCAGCTTCTGTATTTATATTGCTATGTGAGAGTTACTATGATGGTTGAACAATTCCTGTAGCTCAAAGATCAAAGTAAATTCAATATGTCTGCTGCTGTATTTACTGTTCTGCTGTCCAGTCTGAAGAGTAATCTCTCTCTATGAGACCTAACTTGCTTTGCCAGCTTTCTGCCTGTGTGCGTGCGTGCGTGCACGTGCCGTGGCGTGCATGTGCTGATGTGTGTGTTGTGTGGGGGGGGGGGGGGGGGGGGTGCTGTGTTTGTAAACATCAGAGATCAAAGAGTCTCCTAACGAGCCATGTCAAACAGCTGTGTCTAGCTGGAAGACACAGAGCGGACACAGCTGAGTGACATTTGGTTTATGTTAGAGAAGGATTTAACTGGTGTTCTTCTTTAATCTAAGTTTGTCTCATTTGTCTCATAAGCAAACCGGCTCAGACAATTGCCCATGAGCCAAAAAAGATTTCTTATTTGTGAAGATTTTGTGGTATGTGGTGGTATTTAGATGTAAGGCCTCCATGACATAGCTATATGTCCGCATGAATAGTCTACGTCTCTTACCTACTTGGCTTTTATATGTTACCAAACTAATTGCCAGCTATATAAATGACAGCTTTACAACCCTGAACCATGTTTAAAAACTCACTAACTCACTTAAGTGCAGTCTGATAAAGTTGAGCTTGCTTAAAGTAGTAACTACATGTTGGGACTGAGTGCAGAGGATGGTAGAGGGGCAGGGGCCCAAATTCATAAAATGCAGTTTTTTGCTTCATCAACATGCATCAGAATGCTGAATTGACTTAGTTAACAATTATTTAAAAAAAATATATAATAATGATAATAATAATAATAATAACTAGAAAATTCCTGGAGAAATTTTTGAATGTGCCTGCTGCTTGGTGCGTGCACGTTTTAATCTCTACAGAGGACGTAATTTTGAGTTTCATTCATGTCTTGACACTGACCTCAGTCACTGCAGTTGTCCCTCTGAAAGCCTTTTGAAGCTGTCACGACTGGCCAAAATAACCTCACACTAACGGTTTCAAACCCAAATTTGCCCCCACAACAATAGCAAGACATGTATACACACATGTACATGCCCTAACAGAAGTTCTTCTCCAATAAAGAGTCCAGAGCCTCCAAAAAGCTTGTGCTACCAGGTTGAGACACTGTTAATATCCATATAATGATGATCGAGTTTGTTTGTCTTTTAACCTTCAAACAGCCCTTTGAAGTTGTCAGGACCGGTCAAAATGACCTCACAATAATGTTTTTTTTATCCAAAATTCTCCTCACAATTATAGAAAGACATATACACACATGCAAAGAACCACACATCAACACGCACACACAAGTACACGCAAATACACCGTGTTGATTTATCTTAGAGTTGCTCTCATACCTGAGTTAAAAGGCTAACAATTAATGAGTTTAAATAGCCAATCAGAATCAGCTTTGCCCTTTTCTGCCCTTTTCTGCAGTAACACCTGCTCCTGAATTTGTAGTTCAGTCAATGGGAGAGGGGGAGGGTACTCCCATCACATCCTCAAAAACCGTAAAAGATATCAGAATGAAACCAAAACTGGGTGATACAGGACCTTAAGAATCTCTACATTTTCTTTTTTTTTTTTTTATTAAAGTTTTTTTTTTTTATTCACACACACATTAACATACAATCAAACTCGAAAACAAACACTGACACCAACATCAACAGACAGTATATCCAGTTTACAACCATATATACAAAGGCCTCCTGCAAATCAACATTTCCTTTTTTGAAACAACCACAATATACATTCAGCACGATGTCTTCAAATTTTTCCATATGTCCTACCTACAAAAAAATACTTTCCCAGGCCCTCCTAAAATGTTCCTCTTCGTTGTTAATTCTAGCCAACATGTGTTCATATGATGCAACTTCTGACATCATTTCCATCCATTTTTTAACATCTGGAGCGACTTTACTCTTCCATACTCTGAGAATTGTTCGAGCAGCGGTGACCATGCCAACTTTTAAGACCCCTCGTTCATATTTAGATATATTTAGTATTTCTGTTTGGTCTCCTAACAAACATAGTCTTGGTGATACAGGTACCGCCACACCCAGCCATTTACTCACATGTTCCAATACTTTCTCCCAAAACGGGTACACCAGTTTACATCCCCAAATTACATGTAGAAATGTCCCTATTTCACTCTGACACTTCCAACATGAATTACTTCCTAATAAGCCCATTCTATTTAGTTTTGAAGGGGTGAAATAAAATCGATGAATTATCTTATACTGAATAAATTTCCCCTTCGCCTCTCTCATGTGTTTCCCTGTATTTGATAAGATATTTAACCAATGGTCCTCAGATTTTTACACATATCTTTTCATAAACCATTAAATGTCTTGTAGAATATGGCTGCTCTGTGTGTTATACTTGGTAGATCCAAAACTTCCATCAATGTACTCTTGTTGTGACTAAATTTACCCTTTGTGATACAGTCTTTTATTTGTAAATATTTCCAAAAATTACCTTTATATTCAAGATTATATTTTTGCATAATATCAGCAAACAACATGAACACTCCATCCACACACATCCACACACACATCCACAGGTCACTTATTTTGCATATCCCTCTTACAAGCCATTGATTCCAATAAACAGATTTCTTCCCAATACGTACGGCTGGGTTATACCATAGAGAGGCGTAAGGTTGTCTCAAATGCGAAATACTATATATCTTATGAATTTCTTTCCAAACTGCTTTAGAATAAGACAGCACTGGGTTTGAAAAATAATTATGTCCAGAAGTTGTTACACCATGTGAGAGGACATCCAGAGGTTCAAACGGGCTAGTTAGTTCCCTTTCAATTTTGATCCAGCTCAGCTCCTGATCGATCCCCTTCCAATGCTTTATCAATCTAGACATTTCAAATGATAGATTATATAATCTTACATTAGGTAGACCCATACCTCCTATTTCCCTCGGTGACCACATCTTCTTTATATTAATGCTTGGTCTCTTTTTATCCCATAAAAAGTCTTTGATAATTCTATCATAATGTTTAAACAGCTGTGGTGCAATATTGAGTGGCAACATCATGGAAACATAATTGAATTGCGATGCAACCACCATTTTAATTACATTAATTTTTCCCCACAATGTGAGCTTCAATTTTCCCCATTTATCCAGGTTCAATTTTATTTTCTGGAGAAGTGGTTCCATATTTGAGAGCATCATTTCATCCAGATTTGAATTTAGTTGGATGCCTAGATATTTCATACCTGAGGGTAGAAACTTGAAGCCATATGAAGTGATAACCCCAGAGTGAC